GAACACCTGAAGAGAAAAAAAAATCAATTACAACGTGACGAGAAGAAACAAACAGGATGTTAAGTGTCTGAATGCTGTGTTTTACCTTTATTTTTTGTCATCGACTAAGTTATTTCTTTCTGCGCCACTACCATGCTATAACAACACTTGTACAAAATCACATTGGAAACGATGTAACAATCTTGTGCAGTAAAAATATTCAATTAAACTATTTTTTTGTTGTTTTTTGAAAGTCAAACATATATTTTGTTAAATGAATGTAATGTTCAGATAAAGAATATTTCAAAGAAGTTAGGTCTTTTTTAACATTCTATAAAGTGAATTTATGGATTAATCTTAATAATTATATTAAAAATATATTATTCTTAACGCTAGAATTTAAATCGATCAGTTATTGGCATAAGCTATTGAATTTCAACGTAATATGATATGAGTTTATTGGCAGTTGTAAATAGTCTAGCATCATTTCTAAATTAAAGCTAGTTACAACCTTCATTCTCATGTCGGTGTCTGATATGAATTTATTAATGATTTCTTTCATTGAAATGATGTACTTTTAACATATCTTTTTTTTCTATTCAATCTATCTTGATTGAATTTACTTCGGTCAATGCCACTGATAAGAACAAAAAAAAAGTTTGAAAAGAAAATATGATTCGTCTTCGCGTATTATTTTTCTTACAAAAATAAACACATTACTTCCAGTTTTGATCAACTATACATGTACGAAAAGGTGTTAAAAGTATGATTATAAATCATTTGAAGAGCTTCTTGAAAAAATTTTCCGTGCAGTTTTTTTTCTATAATTTTAACAATGATAATAGTACTATAACAAATAAAACTCTTTTATTATTTATTTCCTTTAGCTAAATATGCACAGGAATTTCTATTACAACTTATAGCATTTAATCAACTTGTTTCATTATCAAATTGAAAAATTTGTAGAAAAATTATCCCACCAACTGAATTAACCTCCTTCCAGTACAGAAAGCTTTTAGCACAATCTCTGTGGGATTAAAATATGAAACACGATGTAGCTGCCCTTGCTAATCGAAGGAAATTGTTGTATTTAATCTAGTTTGGGACATGTTTCTTCATCATCTTTTTACTTCATTCTCCAGAAACGCAACAAGAAAATAGTTCATATAATAGAACAAGACATTTTTCGTATTCAACATTCCTTTTGGTTCGTATTTTAAGGAAAATTATTCAAAAGAAAAATTTCATCAGGCGTAATAGAAGGCCATGGATTTTTCGAAAGTTTTATTTTTTTTTTGAAATCAAGCGAATTTTTAATACCTAAAAATCTGGTTTTTGAGAAAACGGCGCTTATTTGCTAAAAATGCTTGCTTGAATATCAGAAGAGTTTTTCGAAAATCTCGTGGTTCTCTCTAGGTAAATATTAGTAAAAACCTAGCCTGAAATAGAAGGTCCTCTTCAAAAGAATGATATAAATCTCTATAATAGAAGATCTTAGTCTTTTATTATAGAGAGGAAAGTTATCATCACTTAAACGACTTCTGATTAATTCATATAAATATATATTACTTGAATGATAGTATAAATGTTTGAATTCAATAAACAGTTGATGATAATCACTTTATAATAAAATTTTTTTTTTCTTAGAAGTCTTGAATACGCGACTAATTACAACTGTCATCTATTGGTAAGATTTTTGAAAAAGTTTCAATTTAATTTTTCATTTATTGCTATATTAAAGCATCGAATGCAATATATCAAGTTATAATATCGTTTTCCTTTCCGTTCTATCTATATTAAAAACATTGATTTATTCATTAAGATTCTTCTAAAGATTGATTGTATCTCCAAAATGTTCGTCTGACACAAGATTATCGACTTTCATTATCAGCAATATTCACAGAATAAAGAGTAATTCATATGCAACGATAAAAAAATCTAGTACTTTATGGCAGAGGTCACATACTGGATCCACATCTTTTTTACATTCAATATTCTATGATTGTCTCTCAAAGATAGTCTTATCTCAAACCGACTTTGTTTAATTAGTAAAATTACCTTACTTAGAAAAAGGAAGCTTTGTGAATATATCATTCGCTGAATTCGCTCGTGGACTAATCTATTCGTGTTTTTCTTTAGTGATTGGTTATTAGCTAAAAGAAACACAAAATAATAATGCGAGTTCATGTCTGAAAGTTGTTAGCAGTACATTATCACAGTATTTGTCGAATAAATTATTTTTGCTTCTATCTTTTCAACCAACAGTTTGTTGTGATTCTCTAAACATTTCTATGCAGCATCTTTGGAAAAAAGTTTGATTCAAAACGACAAGAAATGACACGCATTGAGAAAATACTGAAAGATTCATTTATTGTTCACCGTAGATTTTTTAAATGAATTGTGTTTTCTAGTAAATCGTCCGAACAAAAGCTCAAAGGTTTTCAAATGATTAGTAATCGTCGAACCATGTTATAATATCCAGAAAAAATTATTTTTGAACGAATTGGAAAATCAATTTAATTTATATTCTACAAAAAGAGAAAAACCAACATTAGTTTTTGGAAAAGTCATTTAAACAATAACGACTGTAGAGTCATTGTTTAGTTACATATATAGAGGTAGTCAACAGTGTCGAGATTTCATTTCCTGCCGGCAACTGCATCGAGTACGTGAGTTACCTGAAGCGCAGCTAGTACATACTAGTCTGTCGTATAATAATGAAAATGAATAGTAATTTATTTTTTTATTCGCCATAAGAAATAGTTAATCTAATTTTTTTCTGTTTTTCAACTATACAGTGTTCCTCATATATCGTCCTTGCATTCAAAATTGATTGTTCACTTTGAGACATTCTGCTTATATAGAAAGGTTTTATTTTACATAATTACACTTCCGTTAGAACTTCTGCATATTTAATTAAGTAAGAGCAATTTTCCACTAGCCTACGATGTTCATGTTGTATAAAGCCATAGTGTCCTTTCAATATACGCATACGAAAGTCTTCATTGGATAATTATGTTTTCTTTTTGATATTTTGAAAGTATAATATCTGAAGAAACGCTTAGTTTTTTCTTAATTGTATACATACTTTTGGCCTATAAGTAGAGTTAAGTTTATAAACAAAATCGGTATAGAGACGAAACAACAATTTATTGTAGAGATGAAAAGTGATAATAGAGATTTCATTGTTTGAGAAATATTCAAAATGTGAAATCTATTTCTATATCCTGGAAATATCCATATAAATATGATTGCGATTTGCTAACTAGAAAATTGAAACGTGAATTTCGAACCTTGTGGAATATCGTATTTTTAAGTAAACTCAAATTCATTGTCGACTATGTATGATTATTTCTAGAATATTCTTTTCTGTTCTCTATTACTTATTTCATATTTCACAGTGTGCCGCATCCGCTACGTTGTTTGCATATATTTGATGTGTTTCTTGGTGTTATACAAATGAAGTAGTATTCAACAGCTTTAATAAAATAAATTTTGTCTTATTTTATTAGAAGAATTGTCAGGAAAATTATTCAATTTTGTTCATCATTTAGATTTTTTCTCATTTATGAAAAAATATTATTCTTGTTTTCATCTCTATCACCAACAACGACATATAACAAATAAAATCTGTTGTCGATCTGTGTTTTATTTCTATATACATAATATAATCAATCTCATATGCATGTAAATGCAGATACAAGAAAGAACCGCATAATTTCTTTTCCAAGAATTTTCGTTAATAAATTCGTCGTAACAAGATAGAAGAATATATATGCTTGTGCTTTCAACAAACAGAAGCAGTACGAACAAAAAGAACCGCACAGCATATAAAGATATTATTATAAGTTGTCAAACACTTTTCTTTCTACATCGATGACAAGCTAATCGAAAGAAAAAGAATTTATAAAAAAAACACATTAATTCTAGGCAATGAAATAATCTATCAACATAAAAGAAGATATTGTGCTATTAGGAGAAAAATTCCTAGATATTAGAAAGCATTGATGGTATTTCATATAAACAGTATGATAGATTTTGTGTTCTTTTAAAATAAGAATTATCAGTCTACATCGGAAACAACAAAGCTTAATATTTGTTTTCGATAATTATACGATTTGTAATAATTATCCATAATAACTTCTTCGTATATGACATGTCACAAGTAATGTAAATATATCAATGATATGTTTTACTTGAATGACAAAACCGGTAGAGATAAATAGATAGACGAAAATATAAATAATTCTATACATATGATTGTGTCAATTACATGTCGAAATTGAAATTGGAAGTAGAAAGAAAACAAAACCTTACTGTTTACTAAATAATCAAAGTTATTGACTTTTCGAAAAGATATTCAGATTGATCACATGCGCAACGTTTAAGAAAAATCAATAAAAACTTCAATTATTAGCTAAACTCATTTTGTCAGATTTATTGATCAGATAAAGGAAGTTATATAAATTCTATTTATAATTCTCAAGAATAATTTTATTTATGTTAATTTCGAATTAAGCAAACCAAATATTTAAAAATAATTCAAAGAAAAATCAATGACAGTGTAGATAAGGAAGGCAATAATGAATATCTTAGAGTGAAAGAAATAAAAATGAATTATCGTAATAAGCATTCTATAGAATCGCTCGTTCTATTTATAATGAAAAAAGAAAAAATACATTACATGATCGAGTGGTAATGACCTAATGTTGTAAGAGCCACGTTGTTTCCTCGAATAGATACTGATCGAAGCCACAAATGTGATTTCTTCTTTTTTTTTTTCTATCAAACAGAACGAGCAAGTCTAAAGAATTTTTACTTCATCCGAAACTTACTGTAATATATAATCCTTTGCTTTTTTTTTAATAGTTCAAAACATTTCTTTATCTTTAGATTTATAGTTGTTACTGATGATAATTGATTGCCGCCGTCGTCGTCATTATTATTTTATAATACTTATTTCGTTTTGTTTTTGTTTATTCTTTTTAATAAAAAATGATGTTTCAAAAACGTTTTCTGATATGTATTTATTAAAACATGATTCATCATATAAACAATTATTATATGATCAAACAAATTTTGACTGTTTTGATGATCCATTAATAACATGGTGTCAAAATCAAATTCATATATGTAATTCGTCATTGATTATTTTTAATAAATTATTTGCAAAAACTCAATCAATAATTTTACAAAGGAAATTTGCTCAAGGAAAACGAAAAGGTGGTGAAGATCTTGATAAAGTTTTAAATCAAAATGAAAACGATGAATATTTTCATTTTAATAAAAGCTTTATTCAAGTAATTTATTTATTAGTTTCAAACTGAACACAAAAAGAATGATACTTTCATATTTTAGCTTTCGTGTAATACTTCATTACCAACAGAAATATTTAAAAATAGTCATTTATCTGATATATTTTCTTCAATTACATCATATCATACATGGCGAGATTTAAATATAATTAATGAAACAACCATAGCTGTCAATCGCTATGATTATGTTAATTTTTATCATACCATAACTGATCTTTATACAGTTTATCTTTTATGTCGATTTTTTCGTCTTGCTCCCAAATCTGTTCATATACTTTTTCTTGATGCTCATCCGAAAGGTAATTTAGATTTATTATGGTCACAATTATTTCATTCATTTATTCGTTTGGGACATTTAAATAATTCTTTAATATTTTATAAAGAATTAATCTGGTCACCACCACAAGCACAATCTGAATTAGATTTAAAACAATCTCGTAAAATAGCACCAAGTTATTTTTTTGATTTTCGTCAACATATTCTTGAAAAATTTCATATCTCTTCAGTAATAAATAAAGATTTGGATTGTCAAAATATAAATATATTTTTTCTTGTTCGTCATAATTATATTGCACATCCAAGAAATCCAACGGGAGAAATAACACGACAATTAATCAATGAAAATCAAATTCTTAATGACTTAAAACGAATATTTCAAAATATTTCATCTATTCATTTTACTTACAATCATTTTGAACAATTACCTATGCAACAACAATTATCAATTATTATACAAACAGATATTTTTATTGGCATGCATGGTGCTGGTTTAACACATGTTCTTTTTATGAAAACGAATCGTTTTCTTATTGAAATTACTACAACTGTTTGGCAAAAACAAACACATTTCGAACAAATGGCTTCGATTAATAATATTCATTATCATCGTTGTTTAATTCTCAATGGACATTCAACAACTGCACAAACTATATTTAATTGTTTAACAAAAACACTTTTTCAGATGTGTTCTTCATTTAAATTATCAATCAATTCTATTCCTTCGTTGATTATAGAAAGAGAACCGGTGTAAAATATAGAAATTTTTATTGTAACAACAGAGTCTTAGTTCTGCTGTTTCATAGTATCTAAAACATAGTTGTTTCTTTAAGAAATTTGTGTTCCTAAACGTTATGGATGATTCACTGTACTCACATATCTATCTCAATCTACGATAGAAACGTCTACTTTTGCTTTCATAGTACAACTAATAAAAATTTCTACTTTCTGATTTCATTTAGTATATTATTCTCATGAGAAAATAGATTACATCAATAATAGAATTCTTTGTATTTCTTGCTTGCATCAAACGATAAAGCTTTTTTGAATATTACGAAATGGCTCTTTATTATCCATTAGTAAGAAAAAAAAATGAGTTATCCTTAGAAGAGAGACAACTTTGACATGAAGTAGACTCTACTTTTTTTTTGTCTTGCTGGCATTCAACAAAAATGTATCAAACAAACCTAATTCGAAGCAAAGAAAGACAAGCTTTAACATTTGTACATAGATGAATAGCCAAAAAAGGAAGCAATAAATAGAGTTGATAATAACAACAGTAATGATACTGTCATACATAAATTAAATAAATGTCTTTGTGTCAACATTTGGAATTATCGTTGGTTTTGTGGTCATAATTAGTGATTTATGTTATTGGTTTTTCTTGTTTTTCTTTTCAAATAACAATAGTAAATATATTTAATGTAAAAAACATTTGAATGATTATATATAAGAACGCATATGTTTGTTCATAAATACGTCCTCGAGATTATATTCTTGTTTGTTGTATAAGAGTTTATATATTGAGTAATATGAGACAATAGCTTTTTTTCTTTGTATATGTAAAACGTGATAGCTTTGTCATTGATATTAGCTATTGTACATATACTTTGATGATGGGCATCATCAGCACGTTTTTCTGTTATCTATTGCCTGCTGGGCTTGTTCCTATGACATTGATTGATGACACACTAGAAAGAAATAATGATCTTGTGATGAAAATTGCTATATAGACTGCTAAGTATATGTCCATATATCAAGTATATGCTATTCAAATATTGATTATGTATTTTCAAAACAAAAATTTGTAAACGTGGTCTTCTGAATAAATCTATATGTAGAATGTATTATCGTTTATGTTCTATGCTCATTTTGTCCATGGAGGTCATGAACAAATGGCAATAATTATCTTTCATGATTTGTACTAAGCAAATGCGTTAGTTTTTCTTATGTATCTATATGTTTAAGGACATAGGCAATAGTCCAAGTAAATAATTCATCATGATGGAAGCAAGGTCAATTGTAATATCTTATGAGATAGAATGACTTAGAAATACCAAAGTTATATTATTTGACTGATGAGAGGTGAAAGAAGAAGGTTACTAATGGACTTCGTGTTTTCTTTTCATCAGTAGCATTCATAATTCTCTTTTGTAAATACTATTTTGTTTCGGTAAGTACATGCATATTTGTCACTATGATCAAGATTTATATAAATTTGAGCTAATCGACAACAAAGGTAAATGAATTGTATTCTTATTATTATTTCAACACGTTTTCTTTTTCTATTGTTCGATTATGATATGTTAATATATTAAATATGAGCATCATTAAAAATAGTTGTTTTCGTTGTACAGTTGGAGACAACGAGAGTAACGAAAAAAATTCCAGTGAACAAACATTAACATCTCTTTTTTGATATTCTGATTATGTATCTATGTATGCCTTAATCATCAATAACAATCAATTTTTGACTGAAAGAACATATCAAAGGAGATTATTAAAAAACAAAAATGACTTTGTATTACTCCTCATTATTTCTTTCTAAAGTAAGCATTTACAATTCCCACTCTCTTCTTTTTCTTTTGTTCTAATGATTTATTTTTGTTTTGAAACTTCTCTATGTCAAAAGGAATTGATGCTTTAAACATCCATCATGATAGGAGAAAGTTATGCATTCTATTGACTTGTTCATAGTTAAGATATACATAACAGATAATTTATCATTCGAGTAAGTGAATAAATAAGGTATTTTCTTTTATTTTATTGAGATCATAATACAATTAGGTACTGTCTGAGTATTTCTATATGCTTCCTTTTTTGTCTATTTATTGGTTATGCTTGGTGTTCTTCACCTTCTGAAGCATTAATGTTGTTATTATTACTAAATGTATACTTTCTATCGTCTTAAAAAGAAAAATCTCGAAGGAAAAAGATCGAAGAAGAAGAAGACGAATGTCAGTGTTGATATTATGTATCCATAACTAATACTTATGCAATGGCTTTTCTTCGCTTTGATTGGACCAAGAGACTATCCTTATCTTTTTTTTCTTCTGACATAATGATGAGAGACAAAGGTAATGATTGATTTGTACTTTCCAAAAAAAAGCCACTGAATTTTTCTCTACACATATATATATATGCATGATATTGGTCATATCCAGAGTTTTCAGCCAACAAAATACCTTCATGTTGTTACTCTGTTAATATGCATATGTATGCACGTGTGTGTCTAAGTACAGATAACTCCATACATGTATTCTCTCGATAGTAATCTAGTTACCATATTGTGCTAAATGCACTGGTCGCGGCTTATACTAACATATCATTTTTTTTGGCTAACTTATTATTGGTAAGGAAAAGGGGAAAAAGAGAGAGACAGAGAGGGAGAGAGATAAAGAAAAAAATGCTACTCTTGCGGTCTGCGGTGGTAGCATTAGTGGTTATACCAATCATTACTCAATATATATCGCTATAGAGAGAAAGAATAACAACGTTGTCGGACGGTTATTTGGCTTTTTTCCTAGCTTATAGCGTACTAACTGTTCCTATGTGGTCGTCGAGTTTGTTTCTAGTATTACCAGGCAAGAAAAAAATTATTTATCTAAGCTCGACAAACGATAGACATGGCTCATAGCGTATATACTACTTGTTTGCGTTTATCTTTGAGAAAGACAGTCGTATATCTTCTGCATTTGTCTCTTTTTTCCGAGAGCAAAAGAATACCGTAAGCTATTTAATATAGTAGAGATAGAAAAAAAAAAGTTTTTAAAAAAATGAAAAACCTTTTATAGATTTTTCTTTTGGGTACATTGATAGTTATTTAATCTGATATATACGATGCGTTAGAGTGTTACGATATAGTATATACATATATATAATTTGTTCCTGATTTGTATTAAACTTTCTAATTTATCCAGAGAACGATGTGTCTTCTAAGAGTAATTGTTTATATTTGACATGAATTTGAGATGAGTCTTCTAATCGAGCGTATTTTTTCTTTCTTTAATAAATAAGTTAGATGGTTAGACTTACATCATGATAAGATATGAAGATCAAATCATTTTTCACCTTATTGTGTAGAAGATGAGATGAAGTAGATAATCAGCGTATAAATATTTATTTCTGTGTGTGTATAAAATATTGTTTATTTTCTTCTATTTATATCCAGTTTTCAGATATCATTCTCTTAATCTTTTTTTCCACTTGTCAGTCCTATTGTTCCGGGGATGGACGCCAAGATTATCACAGGTTTTATCCTGTGGTTTTGTTTTATTGCCAGTATATCGATATCTCAAGTAAGATATTTGTTGATAAATATTATATATTAATTATAAAATTTTTACACTAGATTGAATCCTCCACACTCAATTCAAGGCAAAGGTTTAGACGACAAGATGATGAAAGTACGTTGATTGCAATTAAATAATTGCATTTTTTACCCTTGTTTAGCCATTAAATTTTTCATCCTTTTTCGGTACCTACTTTCTCCCCGTATTAGGTACTGCTTGTCCGGAAGGAACTAAACCTTGTAAAGATGATAACAACATGTGTGTTACCTATTGCAATGGAAACCCTGAATGCGCTGATGGTTCCGATGAGCTCGATTGTGGTAAGTATATTATGAACGATCATCATCAAGGAACCAATTCTTTACTTCAAAAAATCCTTCACCTTCAGCTACGGATGCTCCTGTTATAACTTCTGACAGTATTGCTTTTGCTCAAAGTACAGAACCGAGTGGTAATGGAAACGAACCTGCCAATGTACCTGGAGGAACAACAGATATAATCGAAACTACTCTTCCACAAGTTACAGTATTCGATCGCGAAACTGTACCGACAGGTGTGATTGCTATCGAGAACAGAATATCAAATTGCATGTTTTTTTTTGTTCTGAGTTAATCATGATGCTTACTTTGCTTAATGAACTAAGCGCTTTTGTCTTTCTGTTTTAGCTGCTGTAGATACAACTGCTAAGGGTAAGTTTTAATGAAGATTTTCTTTAATTTTTTCTTTACTAACAATATAAACAAAACTGCTTTTCTATATCGCTAAAAATTTCTTACTTCTTTTCACTCTAAAATGAACACATACCTATCCTATATATACATAGAAGATGTAAATACAGTCGTTACTCAACAATCAACTGCCGGAGAAGCACAAGAAGCAACAACCGTTCTTGCCGACGCTACCGCAGCTGCTGCTGCTGATGCTACAGCAGCTTCTCCTGCTGCTGACGCTACAACAGCTGCTGGCGCTGATGCTAATGCTGATGATACAACAGCTGGTGCTGATGCTGCAACAACTGCTGCTGGCGCTGATGCTAATGCCGATGCTACAACAGCTGCCGCTGCGGCTGCTGATGATGCTACAACCGCCGCTGCTGGTGATGCTGATGCTACAGTAGCTCCTACTGCTGCTGATGCTACAACGGCTGCTGCTGAAGCTGATGCTACAACAGGTGCCTCTGCTGATGCTGATGCTACAGCAGCTTCTGCTGCTGCTGATGCTACAACGGCTGCTGCTGATGCTGATGCTACAACAGGTGCCGCTGATGCTGATGCTACAAC